ATTCTTAACCATCTAAGTTGAGCAACACGTAAAGTACCCGAATGTTGTTTTAAAATAATAGTTATAGATAATAGAACACGACACATGCTGCAATCTCTAGTGAAACCTGTTTTTCCCATTCTTATTTAATCCACACCTGCCCTAGCACTAATTATGCGATCATAAGGAAAAGTGAAATAATCTCATAAGAGAAGGAATATAATCAGAGGAAAATTAATTATGAATGAAGTCATGTCTTTTGTATAAACTTGTAAATCTACAAAACCATGTTCATACATTTCCACTTCTTGTTCTTCTTCCTTCTTTCTTCTTCTTTCTCTATCTCCTTTGTGCTGTTAAGCGTGGAGTAGTCATGGTCCACCTTCGGTATGTGTTCCTATCCTGGGCCTTCCTCTGCATTTCCCCTCAGAGTCAACCCACTCTATCGTCTGAGTCTATCCATATAACCATTATATGAGATCCTTGGGCGTACAACCGATCGTTCCAAGGGTTTCTAACTGTTCTGTTCCTCACGCAGTCTAGTTTCTTCTTTCCAGCAACTCTTCTGAGACACCTCATTTCTGCTGACGTCACTCGTGAGACATTCTTCTCCAAGAGTATCTAGCTCTTAGCTCTATAAAACAAGACCGGGAGGAAGAAAGATTTAAAGATGCGAAGCTTATCATTTTTGCTCACGTCTTGTTTGCCCACCAATGTTATGGAAATTTTTAGGAAGACCTGGTTAGCTTCACGCACTGGATGCAAAACTTCTTGATCCACCTTCCCGTCCCGACTGAAGACAGTATCCAGATATTCATAAATATCAACTTGCTCAGATTGGTATCCTTCATACACAATCCTGAGCTCCGCCACTTTCCGTCCTGCATGATCTTGCTCTTACTAGTGTTGATGGCGAGTCCTCTTCTCTTAAGCTCCTCAGACCAATCCACCACTGCAGCTTTCAGAGAATCCTCGTTGTCTGCTATTACCACCATGTCGTCTGCATAAACGAAGCACTGGGTCTGGACGGGCAACGTATTGCAATATCTATTATATATACATTCCACTATCCAATATACAATTCCACGAGAGGTACATTTCGAGAATCCTGTTTCTCCCTTGAAGTGATCTGACAATGTGGTCCTTTACCAGATATGATTTACTTTAATTATAATAATCTGAGAAAGTAATTTTTGTTTCATAAAATGAATAAGAAATTTTGTAAAACCCTTTAACAAAACATCATTTCATGTTGACCAACGGAAACAATTATGTGGTCTTACTGTTTCGTTTAATGCCCGGAATAATGCCAAGTTCCTTTAATCTGTTCCTTTTGAAATCCTTACTATGAATTGTAAAGAAGTGATGACGTATATTCATCTGATAAACTTCGTCAGACAGCGGACTATTCATAGCGGCTGAGGAAATTACAGGACTGGGGAGGTTGAGGTATGTTAGGAAGAGGGCGCCTTATTTCAGGGTTGGCCAGACCCCGGAGCTCTAGTCGATTTCAATTTGAGTTCATTGTCAAGAGGATTTTCCTCAAATGGAGAAATGGAGCCCTTCACTCCTCTTCTCTCAAGGCCCCCCCCCCGGGAAAACACTTTAGTTTCCCCCTATCCAATATAACGTCACCGCTGCGGTATTTGTCACGTACGTTTGCTTCTGACTTTCCTGTCTGAATTATAGAAAGCCCCCTTTTCAAATTGATTCTACATTTGGAACCTCACTCCCTAAAAGGTGTTGAAAATCTAATCTAAAGCTAACTTCTTAGGAACGTCTACGGCTCTGTTTTCAGTGATGTGACTTCATTTCAGAAATAATATCAATTTCTGAAAACATCGTGTATGATGAGCCTTAATTTTAAACGCAACACGTTGAGAACTAAAGATTTAAGAATCAAAATTAGAAACTAAAAAAAAAAAAAAAAAATTGGAAGAATATCATTTCAAAATAACATCACAAAAAAAATAATTTCCAGAGCAGGACAGTACAGTTTCCGCACCATAGATACTTTCAAAAATTTTCAATTTTTATTCGTCTTTGAAGATTTAATAATATTAAATATTAGATTATAAACATAAAAATTAAAAAATACCCGATTTTTTCTGATACTTATTTTATATTTATTTATTTTAAAACCTGTCGTGCCTTGTTGGCAATGCGGGTGCCTATAATCTGCAATAGTAAGAGGTAGGCAAGTCAGGTTAACATCTCACTACTGCAAGTAAAGCTTGATCTTCTGTTATGAGTGATTTCCCTATACTTTCATACCAATGGTCCAGTAGCTCCTCCTCCTCTTTTTAGATTGAAATAGGGTGGACCCTCCGCGACTTTCCACCCGTCCACAAAATCATTGTGACAAAATGTTTTCCGCATTGAAGTGATTAATTGAGAGAAATCGTTCTGTGTGAGAATTTAGAGACCGGTTTCTCCCAGTAATTTAGTCCCTGATGCATATTTACAAAAATAATTAGCGTTAAAGAAAAGTAGGGGGAAGGAGTACAACACAAGAGTGTTGTATGACCACTACGTCATCAACAAGCCAGCGATGCCTCTTTGTGTTAGGTTTCTTATTTATGTTTATCTTATTATAGTGTTTCCAGCTTCAGATATATTTTATTATTTTCTCTCACCGTAGTCTCTGAATATAAATGTATCGTTTTAAATAGATAATATTAGCTCTTATTGCATGTTAATAAATTAAAACTGAGGGACCCTGAAAGTAACCTTTTTTTTTTTAGAAAACAAACTTTATTCTGGGACAAAGTCCTCTCAGAACAATTATTATAAAAAAAAATGCATAACCGGCCAAAAACTAACTTAATAAGAATTCTGACAGTATATACAGTAATTTAAATAAACATATTTATACAACTAAATAAAAGAGAGATAAAGTCTTATTAATAACATTTATAGTTGCAATGGGAAAATAATATATATATATATATATATATATATATATATATATATATATATATATATATATACGTAGGAAGAAAAAAAAAAAAAAAAACATGGAGTAAAAAACAAAAAAAGTAAGGAAAAAAATTGTTAATATAAAAAAATAACAATAGACTAACTTAATAAAAATTATAATAGTATAATATACTGTATATTATACATTAATTTAAAAAAAAACCTGTAAATACTTAAAAAATTAAATCTTTTCAAAAATAATTATAATTGTAACGGGAAGGAAAAAAAAAAAAAAAAAAAAAATATATATATATATATATATATATATATATATATATATATATATTTATACAAAGAAAAAGGAAAAGCTGGAAAGAAGAGAAATGAGCAAAAGTAAGTGAAGAAAGAGCAGTGATTTCTGATGTTAAAAAGGCTAACCTAATAAAAACTAACAATAAAAATTATAGCATTTTTACAGTAATTTAAATAATTATTAATGTGTGCTGAACTAAATAAAAAAGTCTTTTCGGTAGCCGTAAGGATGCCACTTCACGCCAGAGGTGCCCATCCCCCCAAAGATCGATGGCACATAAGCTCCCCTTACCTCCCGAGAAATTCTATTGTTCCCCTCTTCTTAAAACAGCCCTTTACTTAAGTAGAACTAGAAAAATCGTAGATAATATACAACTACACTTTCCGTGTTATGATTCGTGTTTTCACCTAGTTTCTAGGTTTGAAACTTTATAATCAAGTCGAAATGTGTTTCCCTCATAAAATTCAAATTAAAATGTGCACAACCTTCTCAAAAATGTTGATGGCGCAACTTGCGCCAGAACATAGCTTACTCTCCTGACCCACCCCAACTACGAAATACACTATTATTTAAGTTTTTTACTAAATCTGACCTTTTTATTTTAAAAAATCAATCTCATTATTAAAAGAGTTCTTTATTGTTTTAATTCTATTGCAGCAGAAATATCCAATTATTATTCAAAAATCAGGACATGTGTCACATGTTGAAGAATGTGAAGAACTCAGAGAATGAAAATATTATTTGGTACTTCTGTATAAGTATCACTGCACATTGATGGGTGAACACATGATCTCATGATCACACTATAAATAGAATCCGGAGAATGACCGAGTGTGTCCGAAAGTTGGCGAAAGTGACCAAATATTCGGTGCGGCCCTAGCCTGAAAAGGATCTGTGTTGGTTTGTTTATCCTTTTAGAGCGAGTGTAGGGAGCGGACGTTGCAAACAGCGATGTAAGAAAAGATAATTAACTCCTCAATTTTAATTGTAAAGGACCAGTAGGGAGTTTGCCGAAGTCGTAAATCAAGATATAAACAAAGAAAGGTCATACTATGAACACGTCAGCCTTCGGCTATTATCAGAATCCCATTTATACCGTGATCATGATATCTTGGATCACTTGTCGAATTGGAGTGGCACTAGTTCAGTGATACACCTTATTTATTTATGTTTTTTCATGAAATTTAAAATTGTATACAAATAAATATACATCCAGTAAACGAGGTATAGAGAAATATAAGGACATGAAAAGACTTGTAGAGTGTCTACCCATTGGTAGTACTCCAATAAAGCATCTAAATTAGGTAATCAGTGTTAGAAACGAGAGGACTAGGATGGTTCTGAAGTTTATTATGGAAGGATAGGTATTCGGATCGGGCCAATTCGGAAACATAGGGAAAATTAGGTCGTTATGAATGATTTTATTTGTAACAAAATAAGGAGCATTGAGAATTTTACGAAGGATTTTAGATTGTAAGCATTGGAATTCGATGTTTTAGTGAAGCCATAAAGCTCAAATCCATATGCCAGAAATACCTTATTATAGTCATGTATATGAGTCTTTTGAAATTAATTGGAAGCTTAGAGCATTTGTATAGTAAGTGCTGAAGTATTTGGAAACGTCGAGCTGTTTCGTGTCGTTTCAATCTGATCTGAGGATTCCAAATTAGACATTTGTCCAGTTGCAGCCCTAGGTATCGTATTTGTTCAACAGGGATAACCCATTATATAATATTTAATTAGAACTGATCTTAATGAATGTTCATATTAATTATATAACATATGTTACCTGTCCTGTAGACTATGCCCAAAGCTCTGGCCAAGAAATCGCAGGTCCCAGTTGCCTCGAGATTCGCATGGTTGAGCTGGTAGACCACGGAACCATACGCTGCGATTCCACCAGCTTCGGCGTTCAGTTTGGTGTGTTCGCAAAGATGCCTTCGCTCGTCGCCCGAAACCTGCTCAGAACAAAACAAGTAAGTGAACTTGATTGAGTTAAGTCCACTTGAGGAGTATCGCTATTCAATAAGTAGGAATTGAGAGAAGTTATTTACAAAAACAAGAATATGTAGCAAAAATCTTTCCGTTTTGAGAAATAGTACTCTAAACAAACTTCGTATTCTGGCTGGGTGGAACTTCCGGCTTCAGAAAGTTTTCAAGAGAGGTTAAGAATGGAAGTATACTTTCTGAGGGTGGTTTATAAATTTTTTATCAAGTTATGGAATATTAAACTTGGGGTTGGTAGCCTTTTATGGCTTTATTGAAGTTTTCCAATTAATTAATTATTATCTGGGTAAAGTTCAACTAAAAGTGTTTTGGTCTTTCATATAATAAAGCCATAAACGCCATACAAGTGATATTATTGAATATTGTAACATATTGTAATGGTATTGAACTGTATTTATTAATTTTTTTTTTATAAAAGAAAAAATAATAAAATACGTTTCTGTCGATTCCAACCACCTTACACAATCAGAACAAGTACCATAGAAAGAATACTGTTCTTACATAGTTAGTTTTTATTTTTTGTTTAATTTATTTTATTTTTCTATCTAAGCTACTGCAAGATTTTAATTTCGGTCTCAAACTAGTTACTGTTTAAACAAGGTCATTTCTTAAGGCCATAGGATTTTTTTTAATTGTAATTGATTAGGTATTTTATTAAATGAAGAAATAATATTCTTATATCGAAATCCTTTTTTTTTCCGATGCTCCATTTTGTTTTTTATCAATTATATAAATAATACATCAACAACATACATTCATATATATCAAAAGCTTTAAAAATTACTTGAACTAAGTACTTTATTACGCGTTTTAAAAACGAGGCAGTAGCCGATTCATTTATTTTTTTTTTTATAAATATTATTATGAAATTACCAAACCCTCATAAATAATATGTTTTTGAAAATACATAACTCTAATTATAACTACGCCTGTTTCAAATGAAGAAATTAAACCTACGAAAAATATTTTCCTGTAACAGATAAGAATGGATAATTGTATGATTATAGAAATTATCGTGTCCAAATTTGTTTTCCAAGTTTTCCATTATTTGATGCTGAAGAATTTACTTCATTTTAATTTATAAAATAAAAAAAACGTGGTGTTTTGAATAATAAATTGTCATTACCGTAAACGAAATACACTGACAGGCAAAAAATTCGACCCACTTGATTTTTACATGTTTTCATCTAAAAATATTTCTCTAAAGATGTATTTGTATATAATACATGGTATTTGTAGATAATACTTAGTATTTATGGGATTTTATAATCTTTTTTACCTCAAATAATCAAAATGTGATTGGGTAAGAAAGATTAGAGAAAAAAAAATTGAAAAAGGAACTACTATTATTCTAAAATAAATTAATTACATCATCGTTTAGTAGCGCGTGTTTCCTCCTCTTGCATTCACTACTTCTTGAAGACGCCTCGGCATACTTTTCACCAGTCGGGAAATGTCCTTTTGCTGGAGTATAGCCCATTCCTCCCGAAGAACCCTTTCAAGGTCCTGCAGTGTATCAGGAAGTGTTGCACGCGCTCTTATTCGTCTTCCGAGGTTTTCCAATAAATGCTCAATGGGGTTCAAATCTGGAGAACGTGCTGCCCAGGCTAAAACCTCACTATTGTTCTGTTGCAGGAACGTCTGCACTATGCGGGCGACATGTGGACGTGCATTATCGTGCATTAGAATAGAACGATCGCCGATTTCGTTGAGGATAGGTAACACATGAGGTTCCCAAATCGCATCCTCATAGCGAATGGCCGTCAAAGACCCTCCACAAACAACAACCAATTCTGTGCGGCGCTCCATTGAAATCCCAGCCCACACCATTAAGGAACCACGTTGGAAAGGTTGGCTCTGGGAAAAATAACAGGCTGCATATCTTTCGTTTCTTCTTCTCCACACCCTTTCACGCCCGTCTGGAGATCGAAGAGCAAATCTTGACTCATCTGTAAAAAGTACAACACTCCATTCGTCCATAGTCCAATGGCTGTGTTCTCGAGCAAAAGCCAACCGTGTTACTCTGTGAGTTCTGGTCAACTCTGTTCCTCTTATTGGACGAAAAGCCATTAATCCATACTCATTTAATCTTCTCCGAGCGGTACGTTCAGAAATTTGCACACCTCGAACTTCTTCGAGCTGATGAATAGCTTGAACAACGGTAAGGTGCGGGTTTCATAAAATCCTCAAAGTCAAAAACCGGTTTTCCCGTGGTTCTGTTACCCTAGGCCGTCCACACATTAGCAGCATATCTAATGGAACGTCCATCATCAATAAGTGCCACACCACGCGCAACATCCTCAGCACTAAGAGGCATTTTAAAATTTAATATTAAACAAATTAAAAGCTGGAGACTAAGAAATGTGCTGCAAGAAACGTAACTGAACTAATGATACTGAATAAACATTTTGATTCCATAGAAAGTAAACATTGAAATCTAGAATCATTTCATTGAATTAAGGATTAAGGGTTATTTTCCTCTATATTAACATTTCTAATTGATAATAAACAAAAAGATTACCTATTTATTCATTAAAAACAATAGACCAATCCAAAGCAGAAATATTTTTAGATGAAAACATGAAAAAATCAAGTGGGTGGAATTTTTTGCCTGTCAGTGTATATTTTTGTTAAGACAATCATGTATATTTATACTCTAAAGTTTAGTTATTTGGTTGATTTAATTTATTTAAATAACGGTTATAATCGACATTAAAGTGGACTTTTTTATTATTTAAAATAATTACCCGGAAAATTTAATTAAAATTTTTTATCCTGGGCAGTAATTTTTTTTTATTTGCAGAAAATTAGTGGATTTAATCAGTTTGAGAACCGTGGTTAGACATAATCAAAACATATTAAAATATATTACCTATGCACCTTGCATGGTCCCTGGCAATCATATCAAATATTGAAAATACAGTCGGAATATTGTAATCATTCTAGTTTTAGAATTTAGATTTAGTAGATATTAGATTTTTTGATAAACAAAAAACATCTCAGATATATGTTTATATTTGCTTTTGAAATGAGTATAAACGACCTATTCTTATCGAAATGACTCGACTTTACTGATTTAAGAAAAATGTATTTTTAGGAGTAATTGTATTTATAGTTTCTTTTTTTTATTTTTATGATTAAATATCAATAAATATGAACGAATTATGAAACTTATTAATAATTAATTCTTATTTTATTATTCAATAAAAAAAAATCATATATTATCAATAGAATTCTTAATTATATTTTTAATTATCTGTTTATGTACAAAACTAAATAATAATTCCAAACAACACTATTTACACCCAAAAAAACAAAACAAGACAGCAAACTTTTTTTTATTATTGTTTAATATACAACTTTCATATATAAATACACGAACAGCCATGCACATCTTATTGTACATCACGAGACATTAAACCACAGAGAAATATCTATTTATTTTATATATACAATTTCGAGACAGAAAAAAGGGATTGATCGTATTCGAGGTATTTCTCACAGTATTTTAAATTACCTCCGCTCCCCCCTCCCAAAACACTTTAAACCATTGTTTTGTTTGACTGAGTTCCGATATCTCTTTTGGAGTTAGTGTTCCAAATATCCCTTCAACTGAATATTAAGGAAATAACCATGAAAAATGTCTGCTGAACTTAGCCGTATAACAGAAGAGATCGAATTGACACTAACAAGAGGAAAACGCTAAAAGATAAAAAGTCTTATTTTTAAAATTATATATTTATTGCATCTTATATCTTTAATTCAAATCCCTGGGTGAGAAAAACATTCGAGATTCATGCCACTTTATGTATTAGGACTTAAACATATACAGTCCATAAGGAAAAAAAAAACGAATTTTTAAACTCTGCTTCATTAATTTACAAAAGGCGTATGCAGTGTTATGGCTTTTTTTTTTTTAAATAACTTCTAATATTGAATACTTGACGGTTGTCTGTTGTATATTTTAGACGATGATTCGGGGTGGCGGTCATACAAACACTAAAATAGAGAAACAAATGTTTTATTTGAAGCCAACGTTTCGACCCGACTTTGCAGGTCTTCTTCAGGTCTAGAGCGAACAAGATACAAAAGGATATGGGAACATGTGGAAGTTACACAGGCGGGCAGGCGGATTTACCCCTCCCCATCCCTCCCCCAAAATGGTAAAATGTAACCGCCTTTTATGGTAAGAAATATTAAAAAATTAGGTCTTAAAGTATTATTGCTAGTTTAATTACATTTAACAGGACTTCAAGAATCACTTAAACATCATTTCACATAGGTAATTAGTATCTTTCTGTTTTTCCAAAGTGATTATCGTTATATGTATGAAAAAAAAATTGTGGGCTGAAGCTCCCCCCCCCCCAAAATTAAATCCTGGATCTGCTAGTGGGAAGTTACATAACATTTAGATACAAATTATAAACACTGTGAATAAACTTATTAAAATTATACACAGTGTGAATAATTATATAGTTCATATAGTTTATATAGTTCATATAGTTTATATAGTGAGTAGTTTATATAGTTGATTGTTCTTAATATTTCTATTCACGCTGTTTATAATTTTTTATAAATTTTATCTAAATATTATTATTTTACAGTTTTACCATAATTTTATATATTATTTTGTTTATTGTTCGTTCTAACCCAGAAGAAGACCTGCAAAGTCGGTTCGAAACTTGGTTGAAATTAAATATAATGTCAAAATAATGTTTGACGATGAAGTATTATTTAGAAAATTTGTGAAGTAACCTCTTTCGTTTTAAATAATCATAAATAGTGTGGTAATCATAGGCGTCGGCAATTTTATTGAGATAAATAATTGGAAGGTCAAAGGTTAGGATATCATCATAGCAGTGTTTGATGCATGAAGGGAGGAAGTAAAAAACAGGAGGATAGAAAATACTGGTGGAAGAGGCGGAGGTTTGGATAACATGATAACAGTATG